CTTTGGACAAAATTTCACTGAAAAAATTATAATATGTGATGGAGAAATGATGCGCCAAACTCGTAGAGGACATTTAATATGGGACGGAGGAAGTACTTATTATTTTTGTACACGCGAAAACGTACAAAATTGGGTCCTTGTTAGGGATGGTACCCGGGTACACAGGGCATGTACAGCGCATGGGGCTCCTTTGCTGCTGTGGCTGTCTCCGGTGAGGATAATGGCAGCCTGGGATGCGGCTTCAGTGAGCCGTTGAGGCGTTGCCACTGGACGTGCTGGGTGCAATTCGAAGACCGCCATCCCCCTCCCCTCCCCCGCCCCAGCCTATGTTGATTGGCGGGCCACGCGCAAGACCGATTCCGATCGATCCTCGCCAGGTTGTATGCAGCGTGAGCGAGTGCACCTGCAACGCCGTTTGCGGTGGACCACGTTGGCGTTGGCAGGTACCCTTGAAAGCGCCCTGCGGGCTGTTGCCAGCAACTCGCGGGAAGCTGATGGTGTGCCGACACACGGGGCACTGACAGATAGCGCCGTTTCCGGTGTCGCCCCGGCACAGTGTCTCAGGACCTCACCCGGAGTCGATGGTGATAAAATTCCGCCGAGATCGGTGATTGACTTAACGCTATGCCTTTCTTGCACCCGCCTACCCGGGTGCCCTCAAACCACCGTAGCCGGGTAGGCGGGCACAGGCGGAAACCTGGATTATCCTGGTCCTGAACAGTACCATGGGCCGGGTACGGACCTGGGTAATGCACGTTTGACCGGCGGTAGACCGATGCGTTTGGTTTGCAGCTGCGCTGGTTTTAGCGAAGGGCATCCGGTCCGCACTGCGTTTGGCTGCGTCCGCGATCGTCCACGGCGCCTCACACTCTTCCGTGGTCCGCGCGTTTGCAGGGCGTCCGGGGGCGCCGGCGAGCCGGAATCGGGGATTCCGACGGGCTGGAACATCGACCATGTCGCTGCTTGGTCGATGGCAGGTGGTGCAGCGCCCAGCAGCCTGAGCTACATGCAGCTGCGCCTACTTTGGGGCGTTGTTGTGTGGCTGCGCTGTCGCAATTCTGGCAGCCGTTCTGTTTATGTTAGTGTGGTGTGGTTTTCTGTCGTTGTCGTCGTGGCTGTCGCTGTGGCTGTTGCCGTCTGACGATTCTGGCGTCTTTGATTCTGGATCGCGATCGATCAACGCGATCGCTGACAAAAGGCGATCAGCCCTTTCTGGGCTGTTGCTGCGCCCTCCAAACGCGCGGTTCACGGTAGAGAACGTCAGGCGAGCTGCGTCGTCGTCGTCACGGACTCCCTTAGACGGCGCTGGGCGCCCAGCCATGCGCTGTCGAGTGCGGCTGGCCAACGCCCCACAGTCGGGCGCCAGGGAGAATCTTTCCGTACCCGGGTACATACCCGGACCCGGGTACTGGCTGTACCCGGGTACCCTGGCATCCCCAATTACCTGGGTACTGCGTGCACCCGGGTTACTTGGGTACAACCCGGGTATCCAATTGGAAGTATCCAGTTGCAACTTGCGCGAACTCGTGTACCCGGACCCGTTCCTTTCCATACCGGGTACCATCCCTAGTCCTTGTACGTACAGACAGTACACACAGACTCAAGGAGTCCGGGGAATGGCAGCCAGACGCGCTGGAGTGTGTATGAAGCGACATTTTGTTCGGTATGCCGTTGCCCTTGCCGAGGGTGAGGTGGTTGCTACATTGCGGGTGCTTGAGGGGGCAGAGGACTGATCACGTTCGCGACATCATCATGCAATTTGGGGGCGTCGGTGCGCTGTAAGAATGCATAAATGCGGCCGTGAAAATGATTTCAATGTGGCCGTTTCTCTACTGACGCGTGTTTATGCATCAAACTTGTTGTCTACGTTTACGTTTATTTTTACTTTTATATTTAGGTTTGCGTATGCGTTTTTAAATTTTCACGTTCACGCTTTCCCGAGCCAAAACTTAAGCAAGCAAGAGGGCTATTTTTGCCGTTGTATTTACATTTGTGCGGTTCGTTGGGACACACAGATTACACTATGAAAGTCGCGTACAATGATCAGTCCTCCGCCCCCTCGAGCATGCGGAATACGACGTCCATCTCGCCCTCGGCAAGGGCAACGACGTCGTCCAGCAAAATCCCGTTTCTGCCCACTCCAGCGCTTCTGGCTGCCACTCCCCGGGCTCCACAAATCCGTACGTACTGTCATTATGTACACGGTGCTGTATTTACGGCTGCATTTACGTCTTTTTACGCCTGTTTACGCCTCAAAAAGGTAATAAGTATTCACACGCGTTGAAAAGTAAATACGATCAGCTTTTGCGGCATAAAAAGCAAGACTGTCATGTATAAAGGCGTAGACGTAAAAACGGTGCCACAATCGTAGATAACAAGCCTGCGTGCTACCGTGGAGTTGGGCGAGCAATTGCACCGAACGCAATGCCAGTAGGGTCTCTTCTGCACAAATACTTGTGAACCAGGGGACTAGAACTTCTAGTCTAGAATAACTGAGCAATGTCCCCACAGGGCCTTAAACGAACTTCCTGTGCGGAATAATTTGATTCTCCAGCGGCTACCGTCTTATGACCAGGGGCTTGGGGCGAACATCCATCGAGCTTCTTTCAACTTTGAATTCATGTTCTGTGGGCACCAATATACGACATGACCAGTGTGAGTGCCTTGCTTCTTGTAAAGGCATTGCCACTGATACCAGCCAGTTGGTCAGAAAACGACTTGACACCTGCGGTGCTTGGGCGCCCACAACGCATTGGCGGGCCTGGACCATCCTTGTTACACAGTCCTAATTGGGTTGCTGCATGCCATGTGCGTCAGTGCACTCAGTCCGGGAAGCTAGCATACCGTTATGTATCAAACTCTTCCGCACAGTAACGTAAGGCCTGGCCTTTTATGCGGAGCAACATTAAACACATTAATGTGCCAAGAAAGTGTGGAGCAGCTCCAGCAGCGACGCAAGGGTCTGTGGAGTGCTCGTGGCACCTAGCGGCCCCCGATATCGCCCCTGATAAGTCGCTTTTGCGAAAAACCGGCATTGGAGGCCATGTGAAATGAGCAAAGTTGCCATTCTGGCTGCAACCATGATGCGGAGGCCCCCAAATAACGGTCCATCGAAAAATGCGGAGCAAAACTCACGACGCCCAAATTTCAAAATGCGGAAGAGTTGTATACACTTGACGGCAGGGAACATCGCAGGCCACTTGGGAGCCCAAACTGCGATTCTCCGAAAAACGCACCGAGCCAGATCCGCCGCCAGGGAGGGGAGATGGAGAATATACTATATTCTCCTACTAATAACTACCACTGCTACTACCACTACCAAGCTTGGTTTTTACGCCGTAAAAACTGATCGTAGTTACGTTTTTACGCGTAAAAATGCGTAAAAATGTGTAAAAATACGTAAATACAACGTAAAAACTGCCCGGTGTACATAAGGACAGTACATGCAGACTTGCGAAGTCCGGAGACTGGCAGCCAGACGCCCTGGAAGGGGTAGAAGACGAGCTCTTGTTAAACGCCATTATCGCCCTTGCCAAGGGCAAGGTGGACATTGTGTTGCGGGTGCTGGAGATGCCGGATGACTGATCATTGTAAGCAACTTTCATCGTAACACCTGGGTGTCTCAGGGAGCCGTAAAACGTAAAAATAGCCGTAAAAATAGGCCCTTTTGCAAATTTACGTTTTTACGCACAGAAACGTAAAAGTAAAAACGTAAACGTAAATGTAAACGTAAAAACCAAACCTGACCACTACTACTATTCTCCTGCTAATACTGTTAGTCCCTATCTCTTTTCCGTGAGGATCCCTTCTTCTTCCGCTGACAAGGCCGATGTGGGTCAATGGGTCAGTCGTTTAGGGTTTAGAGTGTCGAAACAAGCAGGGTCCTTTACCAAAAAGACAGCAGGACTAATGACATGCCATGGAGATGTTCCCGCCAAGCTGTACTACTAACGTCTACGGACGCAGCAGCGGCGCCGCCCCCGGCGCCACGACGCGCATGCGACCGGCCCAATCCCAGCGCCCCCAGAAGTGGTTGATGCACGCATGACTCCGCGCTCGGCAGTATCTGGGCAATATCCGCCCTCCCGATGTCGTGACAAATGGTCCCGATTCCCGGAAGGACTCGCGCAGGCACTGACCCTTCCCCAAACCGCCGTTGCAGGGGCTTGCTTTCTCCTCTCCTCCCACCCCTCCCCCCCACCCACCCACCCCGCCCCACGCCTTGCACCGGTCGCCCCCTCCCCCTCTCCGCGTCGCATCCCGCCAATCCAGCACGGCAGCCTCGGATGATGGCCGGCGTTAGTTTAGCGCATCCCCGCATCCCGTGGCGCGGCGCTTCCTCGGGACGGCCCCCGATCGGCTCGGGGCGCCCCGGATGGTCAGCTGCCCGCCGGGGGCGGAGGGGCGCGAGCCGGTCGTGCCGCGCAAGAGGTCGAGGAGCGGCGGCGAGATGGGCACGCCGGGTGGGGCATGTCGAAAATCTCTGGCCACGTCTCGGGCTGGCATGCCGCGCGGGTTGGAAAGGGCGGCCACGACTGAACGGGTGGGCCGTGTGGCGCATTGGGGAGATTAATTGGGAAGATCCATGTGCCCCTAGCGGGCGGGAGGCGAGCGTTTGTCCGTGTTGGGTGTGTCTGGCGGGAAGGGCAGTTTCGCGGGAGGTTCTGGGGCTTGGCGCAAGCCCATTGGGCGCCGGGCGTGCCGGCCGTGGTTGCCGCCGGCTCGCCACACCGCCCCGGACGGACTGAAACCTCTGCGTGCTGCCGCAGGGGAGGACGCGAGCATGTTCGAGGCGGGCAACATGGTGAGCGAGGCCGGAGGCCTCTAGCGCGGATGGCCGCGCCATCCTTTTACTCATTCCGCACCTCGCTCGGTCACTCGGGGCTACGCGCCCCAGCGTTGGGGGCGGCCGGCGCGGCACGCCGCACAGCGCGGGCTGGGGAAAGATTTGGGGTCTCCCCGGCGGTGGCTGAGCGCTGCGGCGGCGGTGTGCGTCGCAGGATGGCCGGGATCTATCCGCTGAGCACGCCGAGGAGGAGCGGAGGCTGCAGGAGGTCGTGCGCGACCGCGTATGGCTCATCTTCCACCACTTCCACGACAACGCGATGGGCAAGTTCGGGGCGGACGCGCGCACGCTGGACGCCAACGACTTCCACGAAATCCTGGAGCAGTCGTTCTACGAGGAAGTAGCACGGATGCTGCCCACCAACTCGGCGTCGCCCACGCAGGCGGAAATGGAGATCAGCAGCCAGATTAGATACAGGGTCGTCTTCACCCACGACTGCCAGTGAGTGTGGGCACCGGGCTGGGGGCAGCATGGCCCCTCCCGCCGCCTCACCCACCCATGACCCCTTGTCCCTGATCCCCAGGCATAGCGCCATCTTTTTTTCAAGCGTGGGATTCCCGGCTTGCACTGGTTTTCGATGCAGTGAACTAGCTCCTTGACAAGTCGGCGGTGCGAATTCTTGAAGATGGCTGTAGAGATGTGCACATTTGTTGCCCATTGAATGGTAACCGGGATGCACTTTGATTGTCAGATTGTGAGGCCTCGTGTGCGCTTCCAGCACCCTGTATGTACCCTCTGGACTCTGTGAGGCTGCCGCTCCAAGCAGGAGTGGTTGTTTTTGTTTGGACTTCCAGTGGCATTGAGATTGGACATCAACTTTGCGACATTAGAAGTATCTCAAACACTTGTGTGCAGATAGAGGCTTGCCAGGGGGTTTGCAAAATTCTGCTCTTGCTTGTTCGTTGAGTAGCTGTAAGTGATGAAGGGTTGGTGTACACTGTAGGGCCCAATCTTGCAGTGACATGGCCTGTCAACTCTGCATAAACAACCCAAAGAGGCCCTGTGGGGAGGTAATCTTCAAGAGAAAATACTTCGAAAACGATCTCATCATGGCCAAATGTGGAGGGCCAATCAAGATTCGCCTGCTGGATGTGCAGACGAATGAGCTGGTCAAAATAAGCACTACTCTTGAGGTGGGCCACCTGGTCGAATGCGCTGGGTATAGATATGACACTCGTCTGATCCTAGGCGCTTGAGCCATCCCCTGCAGTCATGGGCTGTGCTTTGCCTCAGGTTCTTTGGTTTACACTCACTTCTGAACATTGGATATGTGATATTCCCCTTGCACATTTGGACATTCTGCGTGCAGTATGGGCCAGATATCACCTGGCAGCTGTGGGGGCTGCGTCTTATTTGTTACTTTCGACGAATACAGTGGAATGGCTGACACCTCCTCATGCCTTGAGTATGGGGAAGAAGTCGTGGGAGACAAACAGAATGGCATGCGAACTGTAGTAATCTTGAGCAGCGTTGCCACACAAGACTTCTGGCAAAGGAGCTTGGCTCCAGGGTGGTGTAGCACAGCCACCTCCAGTGAACCCTGGCCATCATGTGCCTAGTGGCACATGGGCAATGAGTGCATCTTTTCAAATGTAACAACCTTGCTGGCAAAGCCATACCAGAACGGACGTTGAGTGGTGCCAAGTACCAGTTTTGTGCCGTTTGTTCACGAATGGTGTTGGTGCTTGCCAGCAAGTGCAACAGGGTGTCTGCTTTGATGAAAATGGACTCCATGGAAAAGTGAAACCCTTATGTTAAAGGCCACGTTGATCACTCATTGCCTACACATGTTTGGTATTCTGAATGCGTGATTGGTCGTTGGTGCGCACATGAAGCATCTATTGTTGCAGTGCCCACTTTGCACTGAGCATTAAGCCAGCCTCTACGGCTTGCCTTGGTATTGGCCACAAGTTCCACCCACACTGTTCTGGGCGGGCAAGAAGCCGCCGAAATGTTGGACAGCAACAGTTGCTTCGTCGTCTCTATACCCATGCACAAGCACTAGGAGAACAGGAGAACCGCTGCTGACACACCCACAAGATATTGATGGTGGCATGTGGACGACTGGCTGTGTGTGCTGTGTCAGTTGTTCATCCTCAAGGGCCCTGTGCATGACCAGAAGTTCCCTTCGGGTATACCCCATTGTGCCTGCGAAGGACTGTCGCAGTGCCAGTTGTTGCTGGTTGATCAGGAGGAAAAAGATGAAAGAGGAGAGGTGGGAACAGACACTGTGCGATGGGCTTGGCTCCATCTCTGCATGTGCAGCTATGTGCCTTGTTGCCTTGATGCTGCATTGGAAGTGCTTGAAGCTACAGAATTGATTGGAGTTACTGTCTGTGACAATGGTATTCAAAGGGGCACCTACCGGCTGGTGCTGGTGCAAGCTGATTGGGTGGATGTCCACAGGTAGTGCCTTGTTGTGTAGCACCCATACGACAGCTATGTGGTGGCTGGCTTGCTTTTCATGTCTCTCCTTGGACGTTGTATGCGTGTCAATCCAGCAGCAATACCAGGCACTTCCTGTGGATGCCAAAATTCACCGGAACAGTATTCTGCACTTGCACAGGCTGCAAATGACTTGCCTGGTCGCTGGCACTTGGAATGAAAGTGGCGCTTGCAGTTTGTGAATCTCAACTTGCAAAACCTGGATCCATTTTTTCCTGCCCTTTTTAATTCTGCCTTTGACCTGGCTGTGCTCATCTATTCTTCAGAAAGTCGTGATACCACTGCTCCAATCTGACTACCTGCCAAACCAACCTAATGGAAAGGTCCACATTCGGCTCCAGGTGTGATGACATTGCATCTGAGTTCTTGTACATTCACGGTTCTGGGTACCCATTGTTGCCTGGCAGGTTCAAACGAAGTGTGCATAATGTGGGAAGTGCAATGGAACTTATTTTTCAATTCACATATACTCTCAGATGTATATTGCCAGTTTGTCTTTGCCAAGGGCACATGTTCAGTGCTGTTGAAATAGTGCCTTCTCGTTTCACAAGGTCTCAGCTCCTCCTGACTGATGGTCAGGAGCTGAGACCATGCTGTTAAGTTCTTGCTTTGGTTGTAGCTCATTCCCACATTGCTGAGCTCTCCATGGGTGACCTGAAGTGCATCGTTGCCATATTGACCTCCTACAGCAGCCTGGTGTTTGTTTCTGGCATGGGGGCGCCTGGAAAAATTGCAGTTTGGATCAATAACGATCTCAGGTCTATGAGAACATGGGATGTGGGCACATATTCGGCCTGGCACTGTCGCACAGGTTGCTTGGCAAGACTTGCGGATGCCCACTGTTAGATTGAAGCTTGCAGATTCATTTTTGTGTGAAACCATGTTTGCATCAGGTCGTGCCCTCGACCCTGGCAGTATATGGAAGGGAATTGGGCTCACAAGACATGGTTGTCCTGGTTTCGATTTTGCCATGAAGTTCATTTGAGAAACTGTCTGAGACACAATGATGTGGCAGCTGCTGTCAAATCAGAATCGATTTCAGGCTGTTCTGCGTTTTACACGCAAAACACCTGGACCTCTGTTACCACCATCGGCAAGTGAAGGTGAAGGATTCAACAGTTGCTTGAAGCTATTGTTTTTGTCACCAGCGTGAGCCAGAAGGGTTTGTGTTCATCACTACGTGCTCAGACTGGCGTTTGCATGCTGCTGCCTATGACATTGCCTATGACGTTGCTGACTCGACCGCCACTGTGTTATAGGATGGCGAGGCGACTCTACCGAACGTGAAGGTCTTCAAGAGCAGCGAGGCTTTGTTGGGAGGACGCCGAACGCCCTTTCGCCTCTATGCTGGCGTGCCCAGGGATGCAGCCATTTCCCCAGAGACTGTGATACCCGCTGTTGACCCCAAGGGCTTTGTGGTAGCCACCCAGAGGGCGAAGCTGCAGGAGAAGAAGGAGCGGCCCTTCCTGGACGACCCCATCGCCAGTCTGGAGCAGATTGGGGGAAGACGGGTGGAGACATTAGGGTGCCTGGGGGAGAAGAAACTGGAGCTGCCCCATGGGACGCCTGGAAAAGTGCACACAGGTGAGGGCCTGCTCCATTGTTAGGCGTCATGCAGGGTGGAATGATTCGATTTTTCGCATACTTGGCACAATAGGGAGCCACTATGTGGTTCTGGCTTCTGGGTGGGCTTATGTGAACACCACACTGCAGGGGCTTGTCAGCCTGACGTGCCTCTGCAGTGACATTGTCAGGCTCGCCAATGTTAATGGGCCTTGAATTGGTTGATCAACACAAAGCATTGTAGTGTTGCATTTCACCGAGCCAAGTGTTAGCCATATCCTGATACATCCAATACCATATGTAGTCTCTGTAAGGTCCTCATCTCTTGTTCACACCAAATGCGAGGTCAAGTCATCGATGTGGTCCAAATGGCCTAACCTCAAGATGAGCCAGATTCTCTAGTTTCAGATTCAGTGGAAATGTGAAGGTGGCATGTGAGGGTGAGCCATCCTCTCTGCATACAATGGTCACCTTTGTTTGCATCGATCCCTCGTTCTGTAGTCCCCCCACCTGTGGTGGTTATAAGGTTGGCAGTCTCACCTTTCTTCCTCAGAGCCCAGTAATGTTCACCACCTTTCTTGTATCCAGCTGTGTGTCAGCTGTCTACTGTCAACCCAACATAACGCCGCCCTTAACACCGTACCAAACTGCCTCACTCAGGTGTGTGTCAGCTGTCAATGTCAACCCAACATCGCGCCGCCCTTGACACTGTACCACACAGCCTCACTCAGCAACTCCACCCTTCCCTGTGTCTTCCTTGTGTTTCAATGCCAACATTTGACTTCTACCTGGCCCCAGCTCTGCAATGGTGACGCAACCGATGTTGCCCATCCCTTTCTTGTGCCATGTTGGGTTCCTTTGTGCTACTTCACAGTTTTGAGTTGCTGGGTTCGGGCTTGTTTGCAGTGAGAGACTTCTTAAAACTAGGGAGCTCAATTCAAGGCCATCCACAGCAAAAAAAAGAGGTGAGGCACAGTGAATTTGGCATCGATGACACACTGGGGACAGGTAGAAAAGTGCCACAAAGAGGGCATGGCTCAGCTGCGATGTGCAAAATGCCGGCTGCAAGCACGCATTGCCATTTCACAACTCATTTACATTGTTGCACACAGCAGAAGACATTGAAGTTTGTTCCCTCAGCCAGAACATCCTGATGGCAGCTGTCTGACAGCAAAGTGAACGTCGTTCTCAAAAGCACGCATACATGCATCTGCTGTTTTGTCCTGATGGAACTTCAGCAAATACAAGCTAGTTGGCAACGATGTTCTGGGTACAGGAGACTGGACGAGTGCAAGTCCCTGTTGCTAGCTGAAGTCCCTTGAGACAGAGCTGATAGCAGTAAGCAACGTCTGGGTACCTCTCATGCGGCCACATTCTGTCCTTAAACATTCTTGATCAGTTGGCAGTCGAGTAATACTCTGTTGACTTCCCTACAAACAATGCTAGTTTTTGCACCACGTGTCCTTGACAGTTCACAATAGCAGCTTATTATCGGTATGTTGAGCATCTGCACTACACTGTGCCATTGGCTAAAGTCCTCCATTTAGAACTGCCTTCGAAGGACACTTGAGGGCGAGGATGGCCATCCATGAATCCAAGAACGTATGTCTGTCCTTCACCTGGTAATTTGGTCCGCTCGCCACCCTTTTTACTGTTTCATTGGCAGAACAGCTGATTATGTGAGCTGTGCATTCTGGCCAGGTCTTGACGCTCCTTAAGATGAATGAGTTGCAATGGGCTGAGGCATGGGAACACGCTGAGACAGCCGTGCAGGCAGATAACCAGCTGCGTGTCTGGTGGTTCAACCAGTCAGACTTGCAGACAGGCCTGCTGTATGAGTGTGAAACTGGCGAGGTCAAGTTGAAGCATCCTGTTGGTAAGCATGCAGCCGCCACGTTCTTGTAAGAAAGCAGTCTGCCACATCTATGCGGGACTAACCACACTTTTTTAAGCCATACTGGCTTGCATTGGGGGTGAATACCCAGCAGAATTTGCGATCCATCTGAAGTCCAAACCAACGCCCATTGTGGACAGTGGCATCAGTTTATTATGGTTCATTTTGCTCGACTCATTTTGCCAAATATGCTGTCAAATTTGTCATGAGTGACGCAAGGCAAGTGCCGGACACCGATGTGGAGCAATTTGGAACTGGGTTGCGTTGTTCTGTTTGAGCGGAACATGCAGGCCGCACACTTTTCTCTTTGCGCTTTCCTGTTGGTCGTGCTTCCTGCACTGGAGGTTCCAACTTTGGCAAGTCAAGCATGGCGCCCCTGTGAGTGTGAACTCGAACAACTGATCCAAGCACCAGGGATGTGGCATCGGAGTTCTGTGCTGGGACAGCGGCGGATGATTTGATTGTTGGTCAGTGGAGTTTTGTGTTTGTGTGCAGGTTTGATTCAAATGGCGGATACCCCGCATGTAATGCCCTGCAAGGACTTGCCCCAAGAGCAGCAAGACTGCATAAACGGCCTGCACACAAGTGCGACCGAGAACTACAACAAGCCTGGCCACCCGGGGTGGGAGGTGTACCCCTTCGACTCTGTCGAATTTAAAACGGTAAAATTGGACAATAATCTTGGCTGTGGCAGCACACGCGCAGCAGGCAATGCATGTGAATACATCCCAAGGATCGCATCCACTTCTCCGCTTGCTCGTCTGCTGTTGGAGGATCGTTTCTGGACTCACTTTCTTGACTCACCTGCCTGTAGATGCGCTGCCTCTCCTGTGCAGACAATGTCAGAGGGTCTTGCTGGTGTCGTGGCATGCACCGCTTCTCTTCACAGCGCCCTGGCTGCTCTCCTCGCAGGTCTGCTCCCGGGCTGGAGTCACAATGTCGCCAATCTCGTAGGCAAACAAGTTTGGTGCGAGTGCTGCTGATGGCACCCCGATGCCAGGTCGCAGCACACGCCCCGAAGCCGCTCCCTTCGCCGTGTGGCCTGGCGCGCCCATAACCGGGAGGTTCAATACCTTTACGTCATCTCAACCCTGCCGACCAGCTTCCGGCACAGCCCCAGCCCCTCAAGCTTGTCAGCCATCCCCCAACGGTGCTTAGGCAGTAGGCATCACTGGCATCTTGGGGTGGATCTTGGCTCGAAGATACAAGGTGCTTGTCCTCATCCTCTGGGCACAGGCATTCTTTCGCATCATTTCTGCCGCAAATGGCGTTGATGGATTCCTTGCGTTTTAGTGGTACTTTTAGTATTGTTGTCATTCTAGCAGCAGGGTTGTGGCATGAATTTATATACTTTCGGGTCACGTGCTGGCTATCAATTACCTAAATTATTCGCGTCCTTGGAGCAGAGTACTGCTCTTTCGGCCATGGGTGCGTCTGGGAAGGTTTAAGTCCTGGGTTTGGTTAGCCTTTGGCGATCATCTTATGATTTGGACAATTTGAATGGCAGATTCCGGCTCCGGTTTGGGACGTACCGGGCACCAGAACCATCTGACGTCCTTTGGATTCCGCGCAATATGAACTGAAGTTTATGAGTTGTTGTGTTTTGCTTTTTCCCCGTTTGTGTGCGCCTGTGTTCGCGGTCGATGTACAGGGGTTCCCACAAACCGTCCGCGCACATCGATGAAGGATTACACCTAGTTTCGGATGGAATGGGACGAAATTGCCCTGGCCCCTGAGTGCGGCAGACGTACTCAAACAGAACATCCTAATCTGTACAGACCTGGCAGGACACGCAAATAGTCATGGCCTGTTATGGGAAGAAAGCCCAGGGAAGGCGAATCTTATGGACGGATGCACACAGACTTGTGGCAGTGAATGCTGTCCGCGACTTGTCCCTGAATCATGCGCCTCAAGGCGTCCAGGGTGCATTCACAAACACCCAGTGCCGCCCGCTTGCGGAACAACAAAACGGTCCAGATAAACGCGGTCCACATTGCCGTAAATTGTTTTCAGTACTTTGTATTGTTTGAAGCCGGAACATAATTGCAGGACGCGACAGAATTTCCTAGTGGCCTATGCTCGATGTCGCAGGCTAATGCTGTGGGCCTTGTGGCGACGCCGCGGCGTGAAGGGGCCTTCCAGACCTCGCCGCGTCGCGACGGATGAAGCAGCGATGCCACTTCGGATCACAAATCATGTTGCCAGCAAACGAAATCGGCCACTGCGTGGGATCCCCAGCGCAGTAATCTGATAAGGAATTGTCAGTTTTCCATTTGCTGGTGTTGTGCACATGGCTGACAGACACTCAGTGCGTAGAAGTATAACTTGAGTAGAGGGCTGCCAGAATAACTGCCATTCAGAGAGTGTCCTGTCATTCCGCAAATTCTCTCCAGAGCCGAGTGGCAGATCTGCCACCATGTACGCAGCGCAAATAAGCAGGTAAACCACTGCAAGCAGCCGGAGTTGTTTCTTTCCACAACTACACATTCAGCGTCATAATTTACATGCATGCCACAGACAATGTCCCTAAGGAGGCAAGTTCAGAATGCCAAACTCTTCCTCGCCAGTTTTCTGCTGACGGGGAGGTCAGTTCTCCCTGCTCAATCTTAACATTGACCAACGGTTACTCTGCGCGAGGCTTCCTGAAGTACGGGCACAGTGCCGAAAACAGTAGCGCACATTCACCCCGACGCTGTACCGTTGCTGCCACCCCCCGTGCCTTCGAGAGCGCACTTCAGCTTTTCCTCAGAATCCGCTGGGTTCTCGCAATCAATTTCAGCGGTAGCTTGCGCCTCGCCTCCCTGTTGCAGGAAACGCATCGTTTGGCAACCTTCCATGTGATCAACTTAGTTCAAGGGGGCGCAAAAATTTGGAAATCTCAGGGGAGGAACACACAAAAACAAACTCGATATCCTGTTCAACATTTTGCGATCCTCAACCATGCAACCCCGTTGTCATCCCAACATACAACCATCATGGCCGTCGTCGATTGTTTTGTACTATACAGAACAGCGCTCTGCCTCCCTCTGCTCCTCATCTTTCCCACCAAACACTGCTTTAATTCTCTGAACTGCAGGGAGTGGCGGTTTCCCCTGGAACGTGGACACATTGCCACAGCATTCCATCAGAGATACTGACCACCACATTCGACTTCTTTCTCATCGAAGATGCCCAAATCACCCATGACATGTGTGTCGGCGTTGTATGTGTAGAAGGAGATATGACATACATGGCACACATGGTGAATGTGAAAGTTGGAGGGGGTGACACTGCATGACAGGATGTGAGCTGGCGCTAAACGCAATACTGCGTATTTGACCTGGATCGTACTGTGTAAGCCATCCTTGTACGGTCTGCCTCCTGTGCCTGGGTACGGCCGTGGGTGAAAGTGCGCCAGGCGCTGATCGACACTGCTTGTCGCGATGATATTTTCACCTCTTCCATGGGCTAACCAGGGGCCCAAGCCCCCAGCAGAGTTTTCACGATGTAGCCGTAGCCACTGGGAACCATATTCAATTCTGCTTGTGCCAATTCAGAAGATACATTCCAACTGTTGCAACAAGTGCTCATGCTCAATACCAACGCTCAATATAAATGTAGTTATCCTCTGCTTTGCACTGGTGTGACACAGGGGATCATGTTCAGGATTGCACAATACTGCTTTACCCTTTTCGTGTTTGGCCCTCGCGTTTTTTCATACTGGAACAGGAAACTCATAATTGGGTGCTTAAGTGGGAAATAGATTGCAGGGCCGTCGCAGACATGTCTCTATAGGATTCCACAAGTCATCCATAAACACAGATCAAAATTCACATCCGTCCTTGGAGTTTTTCAGAAATGGAAATTTGGACGAATGCCACCAGTTACTATTGCAGAATGCTTTTGCGTCGATCTTTGAAGCAGATCACATGATGAAAAGTTTTCTTATATTCCCATGTTGACTTTAAACCTAAAGCCAAAAGAAACCCAGTTTGTGCTCCACTCCAGCATAACAGCGCATAATGGATTCAAGATTGACGGAATCGCCTACAGTTGCGCGATTCGACAACATTAGCCCAGAGTAATAAAATCAAGTCTGTATGTGGCCTGCATCTGACTGAATGGTGCATGTGTGTCCAGATTCTGTGAAGAGATTCTAGAATATAACAAAGGCATAAAACATCACATGAATTGAATTGTATTGAGCGAAATTGAAATAGGTCTCATAGGGCTGGGAGCTCAATACTGTTCGCCATCCTAGTCCCTGAACTGCAAAACACCTGGGCTTGTATCCTTCTTTGAGTTCAACCTGCCACTATCTAACCATAATCTCCACGTGTATGTGTGCCCACACCTCAATACATAATAGAATCTTCTCTACCCCGGAGTTCTGTATTTAGACAAGGTTAATGGAACGGTTCATCAAGCATCCGGCTTGTGCGGCCACCTGGAGATGAACGCAGATGGCAACATATATGACAGAATGCCCTTTCAGATGACTCGCTATGCAGTCGGTTTTTAAAACACAACTTTTTTGTGTAGAATGAAAAACAGTATAGCAATAATGCACATTCTGATATTGTGTGACATTTTTCGATTGACGAACGCATGGTCTATGTGCAGGGATCAATGCAGCACATTTTTCCCGCTCCTAAATGCCAAATCACGGCCTGGGTACCAAGCCAGACCGGTTCATACCATTTTTGCTTCAAGCATGGCCATGATCTTTCCGTCCGCACATCCCATTGAGCTGTCATCCGTGAATGTGCAAGCGGCATCCAGGGGGGTCTCGCCAACGTTGTTTCTCAACGCAGCATCAGCTCCAAATTCCAGAAGCAACTCAACGATAGCCAGCTTTCCCAACCTAGCGGCAATGTGCAGTGGCGTGTCACCATTGGCTCCATTGGGAATATCTGGACAGGCGCCTCCCTTCAAAAGACACTCCACGAAGGTCACCTGTATCTCAACAGGCTCAATGCCAAGGGCGTAATGCATGGAGGTGTCTCCGTTAGTTGCTGTTGCCAATCCGCGGTCGATGACATCCAGATCTGCATTTGCTGCAATAAGCATGTCCACAATGGCCTTGTTCGCATTCAGCACTGCCCAGTGGATGGGGTATCTCGAGCCTCTGTTGGGTATGTCCGGGTCGGCCTTGCCTTCGGCAAGAAGAATCTCCACCACGAATGTGTGGTTCAGTGCAACCGCTGCAAACAGCGGTGTAACATCGTATTCAATAAAGTCTCTGCTTGTACCCCACGTTTTGTTGTTAAAATCCACCTTTGCGCCGGCGTCAAGCAGCGGCATCAGCACTATTGCTTTGCCGTTGAACGCTGCGCCCAGCAAAGGTCCGCCACAGACTTCGGTTCTACCTCTACCGCAGCCGTTAAAGCCATTGTCCCAAAAGAAATTTGCATTGCCGCCCATCTCGATGTTGGCTTTGACGTCAGGAAGGCTCCCTTGCCAAGCCGCCCTCCAGAGTCCCTGCACAACGCAACGATCTTAACTTTTTGCATTCTGCATCGTCGTACTATCTAGCTGCCCAAGCATGAGTCTCCTGGTGGGTTGGGCCAAGGCCCCATCGGTCGCAATGCGCGCACATCATGGGTGACGTGATAGCAGCAAGCGAGTGGGAAAGCATGGCGATGTGGCGCAGTCCGGGCACATCCGCTGTTATTACTAACGCACTCGCCCTCTCCCTATGTTGCGTTGATGCGCCTTTGGGCTCCTCACAGGGACACTTCCTACAGGGTTTGGCTACTGCTGTCGGGATACGACACTACGCGTGAAGCCACCGCCCATCGCGTATCTGCGCAGCTGTGGCTGCGAGACATTCACATGCGTCTTTGACGACGTCGGCATTGGGGACGTGGACGGGCCCCACCCGGATTAACTTCAATGCGCGGCCATGACTCTGAACACAAACGGCGGCCGCTGAACGCCGCAGCCGTGACACAACGGTGCCGGCTCGTTTTGAAGCGTCCGCCACGAGTTCGCAAGCCAATTCGCCGCCGGTGCTCGCGAAATTCCGCCGCCCTCAGCGTCGAGAGCAGCGCCCGAAATGCATCCGCTCCGAGCCGGCCACAGCGGCAAGGGCCGCAGGCACTCGACAAAACCTGCGGTATTTGCGCTCACCGAGCGCCGGCGTGCAACCGACTTCAGTCGAGCTTGAAACCCTTTCCGAATTCGGAGGGGCAGCCCCCGGCCGCTGAGGCTTTTAAAGAGGAGCAGAGGAAGCAGCTGGCACGCCAACGCGCACCAAATGCCCAGGCGTCAACATTGGGAGTGCTCAACATGAAGCTGTGGAGCATGATGGATCACCTCTGCCGCGCCGCGCACGCCGATCGACCTTTACCTTGTCCGCCGCTTCACCTGCGCGTGCCAGCGCCGTCAACAGGAAGGAGACGCAGAGAGTGGCCCTGACAAGGCGCAGGCCGTGGGGGCTCGCAATCGCCATCAGGAACAACCGTCTTGCTTCAGTATCTCGTTGGGCCGAGCGCTCCGAGGGCCCTGGCAGCCACCGGCTCCGTTCTAGCGCACATTCGAATGGCCTCTTTTGAAGACGAGTGCTGTGGCAGTGAAAGGTACAAGAGCGAAGCGACAGTAAAGTTTCACTGCAGGATCCTGTGGTCCGTTTTCTGTCCTGCTTCGCAGCCTACAGCCTGTTTTCCCCAACGTTGCATCGAATATACCATGATACAGGCGCCACGCCATCTTCGGGTCCGTTCGACATTACCCGGCAAGTACCAACTGATGCCAACAAGGCAACACTTCGTTGAATTGACGTACGGTGGTAAACCCTTTGATGAATACTCTACTCAATTGATTCACTGATGTGTCCAAATGGGTGCAACATTCTGCTATTCATGCCAAATGGATATTGTGTCTGGGGTACTCTCAAAAATTGAGAGAACCAGGCAGCGCTCTTGCCATACACTGGAAGAAGTGCATTTGGTAATAAGGTGCGTTCCTGGGGAATGGAGAGGGGAACAAGGGCAACCATCCGCGCACAGTACCTTGCGGTTGCGCGGAACCTTGTGGCAAGGGACAATCATACACATTCTGCAAATATTTGAGCTTGCCAATGCACAACTGGCAGCAGGCCTGGACCGACGGTTGAAAGGCTGTCTTACTCGTCTGTTCGTTCACTTGGCAGCGACCCCAGTCGCCTAAAAACATTGCTCCTGAACTAAGTTGCTCCGCATGATTAACGCATTCTTGAACGAATTATTCTTGACTGCAACAGCATCAATTGTTCATGAGCATCAATTACGCCATAAAAACGCTTGAATGTGCGAGAAATCACTGGGAAAGCATAGTTTTACCAGCGCATTGTGCATGCACCGCGATGGCGGTCCAAGAACCCACTGCTTATGCCCGCTAATATTACCGCAAACGCGGAGCCCACTTGTAAGCATAGCGAATGGGTCCGAGGCGGTCCATAAGCCCCACACTTTGAAAGAAGAATTTTGGTTTCTGTTCGTGCATCTTCCACATTTTTAGAAGACAGCGTTGCTTTAAAAGAATGTGTCGTTCCTATGTCTCCCCGGATGCCATACTATTTTCTGCTCCGCCACAGAATCCGAGGTATCTGCATGTATGCACATGTCTTGGAGGGCATCTGCTGCAGAGTACACCACTAGGCGCCAATCTACCCTGGCTTCCCTTAGATAATACAACTAAATATTTATATTGTAACTCGGCGCCAGCTTCCTAAACCACGTTGAGCCCTTGGAATATTTTGGAACCCTGACTTCACTCCCGGGCCGGGAGGCCCGGCCTCGCATAAACGCAGGGGAGGTGTGCAATTTTCCAGGAGAGGTGGTTGCCCAATCACAACTGGAAACAAGTTTTGCGTCCAGGCGCCATTTCTTAATGGATGCCATTCTACTTTTGAATCCTCCAAAGCATGTCAGGGTTTTGGTGATGACTTGAATTGGTGAAAGATCCCACCGAATCATTAATCCGCAATTTCCAATGCACGATGTGAATACCGTTCAACGTATAACGTGTGCAGCGTTGCGGCATAAGCATTCAGGGTGCCTGAAGCCAGGTAGCGCGTCCGTGCTGTTGCCTTTTGGTTTTCGGCGCTCACGGCGAACGACGAGTTTGCTCGGGCGACCGCCTCCAGAATGCGGACTTTGCTTTATTGAAAATGGCAAGTCTTTTGGCGGCCGTGGGTGAGTGTGCACTCTAAAAGATATTAGCTCTTCGAAGTATTTGACAGTGTTTATGGCTGACTGTCTTGCAGCACAATTCATGAAAGAGGTATTGTGTGGAGTTTGTGGTTCAATTCTAAATTACAAACGAGCGAGATGCCATTCGGATGCGATGAGTCAGGTGTCGCAGATGGCTGTGTTCGCTGGCCCCCTCCACTCCCTTAATCATAAACCCTTCCGCATGGTAATGTAACGATTGGCCCTTTTACGCAATGCAACAAAAAAAAGACACAACTGTGCCATGAAAACATGCGGGACAGCCAAACGGAGTAGCGCCCTATCTACTTTTACATGGGGTGGGCTGGCCCCCCACACTTGTGTTGTGTGCACGCGGTGCACCCAAAAAGCGTATGGGAACTGCCCATTCCTTGCACCAATTCGTGTCTCTCCCTGCGCCTACTCTTCGCTTGAGCACTTGCACGCTGTGCCCAGGGAGACGCTCGGGAGGCGCAGAACGAATTGCAGTCCACCGGTTTGTCGGGATCCCTGCTTGGGTCGCAGGGGCCGTTCACAATAAGAGCCTGTGGACTTGTTGTCTCTACGTGAAACTTGGCTGGCGGTTGTTCTGCCCAACTTACCCCCACCGGACACGCTGCGGAGCGTAAAAGAAAATGAGCAACAGTCTGCCGAAAACGCGGAGAGTGAATCGCAACTCGGAAATTCTAAACTTGGAAATGTGTACTTATTACATACACAATACAAATGACCAAGGAACCGCTGTCAGCGGTGACGTCGATGCAGTTCCAGCAGCAACACATTAGGGGTAACAATTTACATGAGTGCCAACCATGGTTCCCCTGCAGTGGCAAAATTGTTCCTTGACAAAATTCATTTATGCATGATAAAAATAATTTAAACTCAAATTTGAGTTTGTTAATATACCACACTTTCGATTCACCAGGCATTCTCTTCTGAGGGCCATGGGTACCAGAGAATGAGAATGTACGACGACCTCTAGGTGGTCAGGTGAATTGCATCCACTCACACATGATGAATGGACATTCCGCGCTTGTGGTCTACGCCCTTACATGCTGTGCACAAGCATCACATAATGTGATTAATTTGCCTGCCTACCATCGAAAGGATTTGCGTACATTCTGCACACAGTTAACATGTGCTGCACACCTCACTTTAATCTGGTCATGAATTGTCCAGTAGATATGCCATCCATTCTGTTGCAAGATTTTGTATGTTACATAGCTATGCTGAAATGGATGATGACATACTGCTAACAACAGCGTCAAAAACTCAGATAGTGAAAGTGAATTTGAGACAATCAGATCCAGGTCACCAAAGCCGCTTCCAGGTCGGTCGGTGAATGCACCACTGGCGTCCCCAAGGTCAGAGAAGGCCATCTGGCGCACCGTGAATGTCTTGAAAGCTCCAAAGATCATGGAAACGTTGTCACTGACTAGAGCCCGGGCGGCATCCTGCAGTACCATACAATCCGCTTTGTCTATGCGCGACAAGAATGAACGATTTCAATATGCAAAAAAACTATGTGGCAACTTAAGCACTAGACATCCCTGAAACGGAAGCGAATTCTCTGCACTTCTTTTCGATTATCGCCGATTTTCAATCTTTAACGAGACTCAGCTGGTCGCCATGGAACAGCTATTTGGCAGAAGTGAATGACTATGCACTCTACAAAGGCGACTTCATGGCGCGTTGATGACTGAGCTCATTAAATTGCAGGTAGTGAACGAAAGTGAGGGGACTTCGTACTTAAGTTTAATTGTGCATTGAAGAGGTAATCCCGTCCAAGTGGACACGAGCAGTTGCATACGACCACATGTGGCTGTGGTTTTTGGCCATTTACGGTATGCAAGACTGTCACAAGTGAGAGAACAAACGTAAGTTTACGTTTGCGGCACCATTTTCTCATTATTATTGTTAGGTCTAAAACACAAATAGGGAATGGTCATGTTTGCGTCCACATTTACGCATTTTCACGGCTCGCTGCCACGCCCAGCTTACTTAATGATGTAACAAACAACGCTCAGTACTCCGCCCCTCTAGCATCCACAGCATAGCGTCCAGCACTCATCGACAAGGGCAGCGGCGTCGCCGAACAGCACGTCGTTTTGT